GTTAGCTGCTAGTTTGGTTCATTATATGAATATGCTAGGACCTATTATGTGACTTCCTGTTTTGAGTTGAAGCAATGAGGTCATTGCCTCATTTTAAGTGTGGGGGAGTCTAATTGGATTTTGCATGCTTACGTGGTGGACCTGTCTAGTTTTAGGTTTTTTGTGTTGTTGAGCATGGTATTGGTGGATTATATGAATTGATGATAAATGCTTGATGAAATTGGGAAGTTGTAATGATGGTCGATTCAATCATTGCCTCGATATTTGCTCGATTGCTTTGAGTGACATTTATCTGCCTTCTGAGGTTTTGATCCATGCTCTTCTTTCTTGTGAGATATTGGTCATATTCTTGAAAGATTAGAACTTGCCTTGTGTTTATTTGAAGGGAATTGATTAGAGTTTAAAAAATCGAAAGTGATTGAGGCATTTTGTTGATTAGCTCTTTTTAGCCTTGTTCTTTGATCCTAAACGTTAATTTCCATAGTAGCCCGTTTGAGCTTTAAGGCCTTTTCTTGTCAGCTGTATATGTGATGCATTGTGTTGACTGATTTGGTGATGATTGGTGAAAATGGTGATGTTGTTGAATGAGGTGAACTGAAGTTGGATTTCTATTGCTTGACCTATGTAAAAAAAAAAAAAAACACATGAGAGCTCGCAGGACGAATCGAATGGATTCTGCTCCTCTTACTAGTCGATTCATTTGACGGGTAATGAGCATTTGGAAACTACTGTAGGACACATGGATGACCTCCAATGTTCACACCTACATAATGTTGTCCTTTTGATTCGATCTTGTTCAGAAAAAATTACTCTCTGAATATAAAAGATATATATATATATAAAATGAAAAATTGGGTCAAGTGATGTTGCAATTCGATTAGAGCGGTTGGGTGTTGGTTGTGGAGTTGTTTGGTGGATGGTGAATTTGTTATATTGTTTATTCCTGATTGGTAGCGGAGAACTCGAGTAATTTATTTGCTCGAGAATTTTGTTGCTTATTTGAGCTTCTTTTCTGGCATATATATTCTTCCTTAAACCCGCATTACAATCCGTGAAGTCCTCTTTGATTCGCATATTTTGAGCTTTGATTGTCTTCGAGTAATTTAAACGATTGGCAAGCATATGTTGAAACTTGAATATTGACTAATTTTGAGCGTACATATCATATATTTATGTAAGAAAATTAGTGAGGCATATATGATGATCTATGTTTTGAGAGTCTGTCATTTCAAGGCCTAGTTGATATTTGAGGCATATGGTCGTACGGTCGTTGGAATTCGACCCGATTGATTTGAACATTTTGAGGCTCTTCTTATTTGAAACCATATCCATGCTCGTGTCTTATTTTCATTTTTTTTTTGTCCGGGACGAACAAAGGTTTAAGTGTGGGGGAGTTGTTTGTCTCATTTTTGTTGCATTTTTCCTTGTTATTTTTCCTTTCTTTTTCCCCCATGTTAAGTCTTTTAGATGGTTTTTAGTTCGTTTTGTAGTTTATTATGCGTTTTGATCTATTTTGGTTTTCTTCGTGTTTTTCGTGTGTTTTTCCAAATTTATTTTGTTTTTGGTGTGCAGGTCGAAAGCCTCGAGAGGATTAGATTTTAGGCAAAGATTAACCTTGCAAGCGTAGTTATATAGAACGTTTCGTTGGCATCACATAGAAGAAAACGGAACCAAATTTCAAGTCCAAACGAGCACAAACGAACCCAAAACGCGAAGTCGCGCGAAGCACGTTTTTGGTGTGTAGTTCAGAAGCTTTGGGGAAGTTTATTTCAGGAAAATATTGATGAGGCAAGCATATTTGAATAGAAGAGTTCGTTGGCTACACGTAGGAATAAACGTAACTCGATTCGGAGTTCAGACGAACCCATACGAGCCCAAAATGTGAAGTTGTGCGAGCTGCCCAGGCCCACTCTTTCCACGCCGCACCGCGTCGGTGCCACGACACGGACAGAGGACCAGATATCGCGCGCCGCGGCGCGACGCCCACCACGGCGCCACAGGCCCACTCTTTTCCACGCCCGCGACAGATTTTTCACGCTCGTGACCCTGCTCCTATATATATGTTCTTACGAGCCTTCGACAAAGATTATTCGGACCTTCCGGGGTGAAAACCCAAGGTCGGGAAAAACCCATCTCTCGATCGGGGTGAAAACCCTCGAGCCCGAGAAAACACGAAAAACTCCTCTCTTCCCCTTCTTTTCCTCTCTTCTTCTCCATCGTTTTTCTCCCTTTCTTCACTTTTCTTTTCCATTTTTCTTCTTCTTCTTCATAGCACTTAGGGATTAAGCTTGTAACTCCATTCAACACTTGGATTTTGGGACTAAATGTAAGTTTTTCTCTTTTAATTAATTCATGAAAATGGTTGATTTTAGGAGAATGATTAATTGTATTGGATTAATTTTACGTAGCTAATTCTTATTGCTAGGGATAGGAGATGATTATTCTTGTTTAATTCGTATCTCTCGGGCTTGAATTGTTTGTTCTTGTGTGTTGAATTGATTAGGAATTGATAAATTTGTGCTTGATTGATTAATATAATCGAAGAGTGACACTTCGATCTTGCAATTGGAAACGATTGAATGTTAATTTGTCGAGTTAGGATTTGTTGATTCTACATGATAGTCGATTAATACCCTTCTAATTGAATTAGCGATTTTCAGAACTGAAACAGGAGAAGTCGTAGACCTAGGCTCGCATGAGGTAGATAATTTCGTAACTGAATAGTCTATATGTTTTGGATTGAAATACGTGCTCGTCGGTGGCCCGTCCCTTGTTACGAAAAGTTATTGGGATTGAGATAATTGACGTGTATTGTATGCTCGAGCTTGTTCGTCTATGTTCAATCCCTTATTACGAAAAGTTATTGGAAGCGAACCGCTAGATGTTTAAGTGAGAGCATCAATCTAGAATAGAATGATTCATGTCCCAGTGTGCGAGTAGAACTTTAATTAATTGTCCCCGACTCCCTAGCGTCTTTGTTTCGTTTGCATTTTTAGGTAGATTATTATTTTTATTTTATTTCTTAGTTAATAATTCACCCAAACTGCTATCTGATTAAAGTGTTTAGGATTTATCTTGCTTTTATGTGCTATCAATATCAAAGCTAAATTCCGAACAGCCTTCCTCGTGAGATCGACCCGGGGAACGAATCTTTCGATTCGGGACTCGGTAAAAAATAATAATTTGTGCTACAACAGCTAGGTTCAAGGTGGGCAATGGGAACAATATTCACATATGGAAATCACCTTGGGTACCTAATTGTTCTTCTTTTCTTCCTACATGCACATTCTCAGCTGACAGGGATAAGTTTAGCAAAGTCAGTGAGTTGATCAATCAGACAAGGACATGGAACAAAGAACTCATTACTCAAACATTTAATCCAAGAGAAGCTGACTTAATCCTGAATATACCATTGCATCCTCAAGGTGGAAAGGATCACCTTATCTGGCACTGGAGCCAAAGTGGAACATTCTCTGTCAGGGAAGTCTACAAGGTGGTGTTAGCACACATGAAATCTTCACAATCTCAAGCTTCAACAAGTGCATTTCCCAGTGATCTGAGAAAAATGTGGAGGATCTCATGGAAGCTACCTATACCAGGTAAGGTTAAACTATTTTTTTGGAGGTGCTAGAATAATTTCATAGGTTCAAAAGTTAATTTGGAGCACAGAGGAATTGTTCAAGATAAGAGATGTGAAGTTTGTGGAGAATGTGAAGAAGACATATCACACATTCTCTTTCATTGCCCCAGAGCTGAAATATGTTGAAAACTCTCAGGACTGCATTGGTTTTCACTTGATAACGAAGATACTACATTTTAGAAATGGTGGATGAAGCTCTGCAAGATCCAAGAAAAGCACTGCAGAACTGAGAGATTATCAATGTCAGCACTCCTAATCTAGAATTTTTGGAAGAGTAGAAATGCATGGGTGTGGAGGAAGCAGTTCTGGTGTGAGAAAAAAATAGTGGAAAAAACATTATCAGAATGGTGGGAAATTTCTAGCATCAAGGAAGGTGAGGGACAACCGTTTACTTACAAGCTATCTTCAAAACAGAACTTAAAGATCAATTTTCCAAGGAGGTAGGACGAAAGAGTTTATTCGTCAGTGCCTTAAGTTCTTTGGGGGGCTGCTTCGAAATCATATGCCGAGCTATTATTGAAGTGGAATCATGGTGCTGGAAGAAACATTTGATGCAAGCAGAATCAGAAGAAGAAGCTCTAATCCTAGCTGTCAAATGGAGTTTAGATATTGCACAGTCCAAGGGTTGGTCAGGTCTAACTTGCTACATCAAGGACAGAGATATGGTTGATCATCTCAGAGAGAAAAGCGTCTGCATTCCCTCGATGGAAGATCATCTTAACCACATTTTCAATTTATCTTCCATTTCTGATTTTTGTTCTTTTGTTTATGACTCAGGCTAGGAATTTTCTTTTCTATGCAGGCAGGGTGGTATTTAATACTTCCTGGACGGGTTCAATCATGGCTATGTATTTGTAAGGTGGAATCCATGGTGATCATTTGATCAATCGTTTGTAATGTACCTTTTGAGTTTTAATAAAAGTTATCGTTGGAAAAAAAAAAAAAAAGAAAAGAAAAGAAAGCATATGATTAAATATTGTACTTATATGACTTTTTTGAATTAAAATTACTTCTTGTTCGGTTCTTGATTCGGTATGGTTGTTTCGGTTCGGTTCGGATATTTTATGAATCTCCAGAACCGTACCAAATATTTTTTCGGGATGGTTCAGTTCGGATAAAATCAAATGGTCAACGAATATTTTTTGGTTCAGGTGAATTCAGTTCAGTTTTCAAAACGATTCGGTAATCTTTGAGTCCCGTGCCCATCCCTGATTTCAACAACTCCACATAGCACTATCCATAACAGATCATTACATTTGTTTTGCAGCAACATCACATCTGCACATTGCAGACCATCATATCAAATTACACACTCTACATGGCTGATAAACAGAATAACAAATCATTCTCTGATAATAGTTTAGGCAGCGGTGATTTCGATTTTCTTGACAGCACATTTGAGCTCCAGCTGAATGCTTGCCCTTGTAGAAATCAAGACTATGTCTTTCCAAACGGAGCCTCTGTCATACATTTGGCCCACCTCTTTGTACAACTCATGAATCGACTCAGCTTCATCGTTCAACTCGCTAACCGATGTTAGGCATCTAATTTCATCGGGATCAACTAATAGGTTGCAGCCTCCATCTTTCCATGCTATCAGCTGAGTGCATACATTCATGTTAATATTTATTAACCGTTAAAAAATTGGTTCTTGATATTTGTCATATGTTCAACTCCAATATTATAAAATGTAATTCTATGTATATCATATCAGCTAAATTATCTACTAATGCATGTTGTTTTGTAATATTTTTGTTTGCTTCTTTCGGGTATTGTTTGTATTTAGAGTGAACCTCAAGGGCATCTATATATATATATATATATATATATATATATATATATATATATATTAATTAATAGCTAATGCATTTAATAAAACTTATTTTTATTTCACTCCAAAAGGAGTTACATTTTTTTAATTAATTATTCATTTATCTGCTAAAACCGTTACACCTTAATATATATATTTTTATTATTTATTTTTTGGATCAGTTACTAAATTAATTCTAAATTTGGTAGAAAAAAAATTTAAATGTGTAACGGCTAATGGTGGAACTTAAAGTTGATTGACACATTCAGAACTGTAACCGCTATATTTGGTTGTATTGTTGGAAAAAAAATATGATTGTCACATTATTTTTTTCTAAAAATCAAAAACACAAATAAATTTTTATATTTATGTTAATTTTCTTAATATATGCCACAAATATATAAATTATTTTATTCATGTTGCATGGTTAAAATAAAATTTAAACCTCAATTAATTTAATGATAAAAATAACTTAAGAAAAAATAATAATTTTTATATGATAGAATTACATGTCTAATTAATAAATACAAAAAAAAAAGTGTTTTATATCTGTGCAAATCAAATACTAGTATGATATAATTATTATCGAACTTTGTTGGGGTATTTTTTTTCTCTAGTCCAAATTTGGGGACTAATTTCAAAAAGACGCCCAGAGAATATTATTATTTGATAAAAGACAAAGTGATAGACGCTCCCCAATTTTTTATACAGGATAATTACAAAAAACTAACAAATTATTCATCATAAATAAAACAGTCGTCTAATATATTCTTACCAATTTAAACGTTCCACATTAGATAACTTTCTGAAGAAAATGCAATAAATAATCCACTGATCTCTTCACTAAATTCAATAATCAAATATTATGTATAAAAAATTATTCATTAAAATTAACCTAACAAAAATACATGCTATTTTAAGGGTTGTATCCAATTAAAATTGTTAAATACTTTGAAACTAAGTGACTTTGGTGGACATTCGCAGATCTATATTTAAATTTTTCAGGGACTATTTAAATCTGTCATCATATACGTTTTGAAACTTATTAAGACATTTGTATACTTACAGTATAACTATTATGTTTCATGAAATGTTAACATAACAACATTGCATCATAACTAATGTCAAAACCAAGGTAGTTAAAACAAAAAAAAAA